ATATATTTATTATAACTTGAAAAATAAACTAAACAATCATCATCATCATATAACGGGGGTCCTACGGCGATTGCCGCTTCCCGCATTTCAGCCTCCATCTTTTCCTATCTCCCCAATCTCCCTCTTCTAAGCCTCTAGATTGCATTGTTTTTGTAATTTCTCTTCTCCAGGAATTTGGTGGTCTTCCCCTTTTCCTTCTTTCTGGCGGAACATACATTAAGGCTTTCTTTGGCCACCGCTCCTCCTCCATTCTCATCACGTGACCATACCATTGTAATTGCCTTCCTTGTATTCTATCTGAAAGAGTATCTCTAATTCCTGTACGGTTTCGTATTTCCTCATTCCTGATTCTTTCCATTCTCGATACTCGACATGACCTTCTAAGATAATCCATTTCCACAACGTCTACTTTATCTCGTTCATTCTTTGTCATCGTCCAACATTCGGCACCATATGTGGTAATTGGTTCTACAATTGCTCTGTATACGCGAAGTTTGGTATGCATCTTTATTTTATTAGACCACAGTAATGAATTCAGTATTCGGATGCATTTTTTCCCTTGGGTTATTCGGTTTTTTACATCTATCTTAACTCTGCCATCTGCTGATATGATGCTTCCTAGATATTTATACTGGTTGCAGCCTTTTATGACAGCGTTTTCAAACCTCAGATCTGTGGTATTTCCTCCAATTTTTAAATATTCTGTTTTAAATATTCTGTTCTAAACTAAACAATACAAATAGTAAATCAGACTTACATTTACATTACACGTTATTATTAAATCGCGAATAGTCTAAATTGACATAAAAACATAAGTTTTTCTACTTTACTTCTTGTTAACCGTATTCTTTTTTATTTAAAATTAAACCAGATTTTGAACATGTGTTCACATTTACAATACTTTATGAATATAGTGGTTAAGTTAGGATATACATGGCGATGGTTTTTCCACCGTTGTAATGGACTCTCGATGCAGGTGTAGATGAGTCATCTCCAATTAATTGATCAAAAATACACCATGGACTTAAGTCATATTTATTGGTTTCTTTTTCTTGTACTGGTTGATTTTCAATAGTACAATCTTCTTGTTCGTTAATTATAGAAGTAACCAACTTCTTAACTTTTTGTTTTGTTCTGCACTTTAAATCGTGAATCCATAAATGTACATAATGACAATGTGCCACTCTGTTCTATCCCTCTAAATCTTTTTGCTAAACCCGATATTAGTAATTGTACTATGTCGGATACTATGGATGTAAGTATGCCGTTTGCTAAAATTTTATTGCAAGATTCTTGCAGGCAGCGTACCATAACAATCACTGAACTAGCATTCAAGTATTTTTGGTCACTCATTGTACTTGTTATTTCTTTAAACGGCCGTAAAATTTGGGAAAGTTGAGAACAAATAATCCAGTGTTCTTTATTTAGATTAGGTTTAAGTCTAAGTCTGTATTATTTAATACCAATGTGGAACGGGTTGCCTCTTATAATTCGGTCATTCTTTTTAACATGTAATAGGTGAAGTTCTACCTAGTTTCCACGTCTTGGATTGGCCGTTTGGGAACTGTGTTCTGTTGTAATTAATACTTTAAAAGCCTTTCTGAAGATAAGGTACTTTTTTGAAATGTGTTTTTTTGCAGAATTGTCGAAAAAAGGACTTTTTATTTTATCTATTTGTACACGACAGCATTTAAGTGCGTCCCCCACCAATAAATTTAATCATCATCATAAATCACAATCATCATAAAACAAAACATATTTAATAGCTTTGACCATATTTTAGGAATTATCAGTTACTGCAAAATTTACTTTTCGTTTTAGACCCGACTGATTAATAATTTCAGTAATCGCTGTTTTCTGGATTATGGTTTCCAGAAAAATGGCAGCAGCCTAATAAAAAAGTTTTGAATACTAAATTTTCGGTTAAATATTGTCCTGTTAATGCGAAGTAACTCTCAGTTACTCCAGATGTCCAGAGGTCAGTAGTAATACAGATATTTTCTACTTCTTTAACAACTTGCGATCTAATGATTTGCTCACTTTTGACATAACATTCCTGAAGTAATGAACCTGACAAAGTTTTTCTTGTTGGCGGTTTATATCCAGGAATCCACCCTGCAAACTTTTTAAAAGCTGGTTCTTTAACTATGGAAAACGGATGAAACGAAAAGTTTAGTAAATCTTGAAAATCAATCAGTCCAAGAAAAAGAAACTGATAAAGATGACTTAAGTCCATGGTGTATTTTTGATGAATTAATTGGACATGACTCATCTAAACATACACCTGTATCGAGAGGTATAAAAGAAGTCGACATGTAATTGTCTGATGATATATTACCCACAAACAATTTCGAACGGAGATTGGAACTGTCCATTACCGTGGTGAAAAAACCATCGCCATGTATATCGTAACTTAACCACTATATTCATAAAATGTTGTAGTATTGTAACAAAATCTTTTCCTTGTGAACACATGTTTAACATCTGGTATAATTTTAAATAAAAGAAGAACGCGATTAACAAGAAAAGTGGAAAAACTTATGTTTTTAAATGTCAATTTAGACGATTCGCGATTTAATAATGTGTAATGTAAATGTGACTATTTAAGTACCATTTGTATTATTTAATTTATTTTTCAAGTTACAATAAATATATCCTTCGTTAGGTTCTTTTATTTCAATACTTATACACATAAACGATAATAGCTAATATGTTTGTGTACTCGCTAATTTGAATACTGGTAAACAATCAGCTAGTTACAGTTTACGAAAAACAGTTCCGATAAAAATTAAAAAAACGAGAAGACCCACCTCTAGTTTTTTAGGTATATTAGGATCGGAACCAGAGAATATCTGATCGGAACTAATCGTCTCACTAATGGGCAATGGCCAATGAGTGTTAAAGGGATTTTAGAAGGGGAGACGAAGGGGAAATATGATTGTTATCTTTGTCTAATTCGTTGAAAATATGATTTTATATCTGCGTTAGATATCCTGTTAAATTTTACCATACCGACCTTAAAATTTTACCTACACTGTATATATATATATATATATATATATATATATATATATATATATATATATATATATAATATATAACTAACTTGCTTATTGATCATAGTGAATGATCAGATAGCAATAGTCAAAAGATTCCTGTTAGAGTTTTATTACACAAAAAAAAGTTATTTCTGAGTTACAGACGTTTAGAGTGTCTGTTTTTAATCCATTTAAATAATACCTATTTGTATAACGTACAGGGGATTGGTAAATAAGTACAACAAACCCCAAGGAGTGATTTTGCATGAAAAAATAATGACAGTTTGTTAGATAAACGTATTTCCGCAAATGGTTCGTTTTCCGAGATATGGGGCCTTAAAATTTTTCTTACAAACTGATGATTTACTTATTGTTATGAAACCGGTTGAGGTATGAACATGAAATTCGGTGAGCTTTAAGAAAAAAAATAGTACGCCACTGATTTATTTTAAATTAAAAATCATTTTTAATATCTTCATTTAATTTGTGACAAAAATTTTTCTTCTTTTTTTTTTCATATGAGGCGCCGTTTTTATGCAAAAATAATAAGAGGTATTTCCAGAGAGATATAATTTCTATTAAACCCGGAGGCGTTTATTTATAAAAACCAAGAATCCGTACCAGTTATTACTTTTGTTGATTCACTTATTATCCATCTTTATGTAAATAATAGAATAATAAAAACAAAAAATTAGCAAATCAAATATTTATCTCAGAATGCTTGTGTATATTCAATATATTTGTTTACATTTAAATACATTTTTGTAATATAATAAACTTTTTAATCGCAGACATAAATTTACATTAAAATTAAAGATTTTCAAACTATTAACATTATTATTATTTCTTGAAATATAGCATATTAATGAAGAATAACCGTTTTTGACAAATAGAGGTGCTGTAGTATTGTAAACTTTTTCTTGTATATTTCATATAATGTTCATCCTTCCTTTACTTTTTTGAGGTTTGGCATAATTTTGTGTTATTTGATCGGACAAATAAATAAAATAAGATTTTTCTGTTTGACAGTTAACTATACTTATCACATTTTAAACTAAATCTAATTCAAAAAGAGAATCGCTCTTGTGTTAATAATGCCGGGTTTAATTAAATTGTCACAAATATTCTTAATTTTCCACATATTCACTTTTATGATAATATGCTCAACACACTTCTTCAATTGTGTTTACTCATGTGACATAATAATGTCACTTCGAAATAGTTTGCTAATGTCGTCTACATTGGAAATAGTATCTTTTCGAACAAATTGCCCCTTAACTGAACCCAAATTGAGGGGCATGTACACAGGACAGTTGGAGTAATGGTTTGAAGGGCTATTGCCTATGGTAGCCGATCACCACTTGTTGTTTATTCAACGCAACATGACAGCTGCGTGTTATGTTGATGACATCTTACAAACCACTTTACTGCCTTATCTTGACGGCCGTCGAGACGTTCTTTTTAGCAAGACAACGCGCGTCACCATATTGCTCGTCAGACTATGGACGTTCTCCAAGAAGCTGGCGTTAATGTTTCGCCGTGGCCGCCCCGGGCTCCGGATTTAAATCCTATCTGACATGGATGGGATGCGATGAGATGGAGACTGTTCACTTCGCACCATCCTCCAGAGATTCTCGCACAGTTAATACAAGAAGTTCAAGTTGCTTGGAACGAGGTGTCACAATCAGACATCGATCATCTTATTTTGTCAGTGCCGAGACGTAAACACATTCATTTTTTTATTACTTTTTAATAAAAATTCTTGACAACGTTATCGTTTCATTCTTGATATAAATCTACCATGTTGCCAAAAAATTAAGTTCAAGAAATTATTTCTGTAACTGTAGCTTTGTAGAAAGCTTTTCTCCTGGTAATTTTCGTCATGAATTTATTTATACTTCGACAATACACTACTTTGAGTTTCTTCTAATTAGTAAAAATGACAAAAATGATAAGACTTACCAATGGGAAAGTAACAACTTTCATAACATTCCTCTGGTCAATCAACTTCTGAAGATTTATCGTGATAGCCACAATATCCTTTCCATCAACCAATCCTGCTCCGACTAACTCACTTGCTATGCCTTCGGCGGAATCTTTGCCTACTGCAAATTCGAACCTTATGTCGTTCAATTCACGTTTGGCATTCCTAAAAAGCAGATTTTATTTTTATTTATGTAAATTCAAATATAGGTACTTTGGACTGAAGTGATCATTATTAAAATAAATGCAATAACAAAAAATATACAATAAAACTTTTTATGTATTATACTAGACAAAAAGACCAAAGAAATACAAATTCTTTAATATCAATACTCCGTCTACTTATTTCAAGTTATTTCGAAAATTTAAAAAATAATACATCTTACAGCAATAATGCTGGCTTGATGAGAGCGAAAGTTAATACCGGTTATATTATTTTAAACACCCCAAATTATAAAATGTATAATATATGTCTGAATTGTCCTTATAAATGAGGCAGATAAAATTAAAGATTTTTGTATTACCAAGTAACACAAAATAATTTGTTAAAGATTTTGAGAACGATTTCCGAGGTGGATATCGAAACGTCAAATGTTGAAATAAAATGGTGGTTTATTCCTATTATCTATGATAGATAACCATATATAATATATTCTAAATATATATGGTTATCTATTATAGATATAAGTATTTTTTTTTCATTTTTAGAGCATTTGCTAAGATCCTCTACACAAATATAACATAATTTGTGAGGAAGTTTTTTTTTTAAATATATGTGTATATTTAGCCTGTATTCTTATAAATTCTATCAATTTTTTTAGGCACTTTTAAAAAATCATAATCATGACTATAATGAAAAACTTACAGGTTTGTTACCTATATAGATCAGTACATTTTTGCATGGGTCAGTGTTCTGGACAAGTCTTTTTACATGTAATATTTTATATTATAAACTTCACGTTTCTTATTTTTATTCAAATAATTGTTTTGCTTCAATTTCTTTTAATTTTATTAATTTCTATTTTTTTCTAAAAATAGTTGGCGCTCAACTTTTATTTTAACTAAATCATTTGTTTAATTATTATTCATCAATTTAAATTTGAACTATTTCAGTTTTATTCTCATTTACCCTTTGTATACATCCGTATGCTAACTTTAATCTAGTTCCAACTAGCTAGAAAATTTGTTTGTAGTTGGCACTTCCGATAGTCAATGTCACATATCACTTCAAACTAATTGACGCAGGGGTATATCTTTTATATATTTAAAGTAGAATTTTCTTCTTCCTCTTTATAAGCAATTCTGCTTGTTCATTGGGAGGATTAATACCTCTATGAAAGGTTGTCATTGCATCTTTTGCGCGGTCGTCCGATACTTCTTTTGCCGATTGGTGACTTGTACCATGCTATTTTGATGATAATGATGTTGTTTGTACAAATTATGTAGGTTATACAATAATTTTACTAATTTAAAATTGTGTTATTTTGTTTTTTACTATATTGTTTTTGTTTTATACTTTTTGTATTATTTGACTGATTTATTTTTTAGCTTTGTCCATAAAATTGTTCAATAATTTTCAGTGACAATAAAGCATATTTCTATTCTATACAGTTCTCCTCCATTCTGCTTATGTGGTTATTCCATTCTTTTTTTTTCCATTTTGTGTCCATTCATTTATACACTGTACGTTACATTTTCTTCTAATGTCTTCATTTCTCTTTCGATCTTTCAGCGTATTTCCTGTTATTCTTCTCAGTACTCTCATCTCTAACGGTTCCAGTAGCCTTTGCGTTGTGGCTGTGTCGGGTCTTGTTTTTGAGGCATATGTCATTATTGGTCTTACACTGGCTTTATTCTTGACTTCACCTGTGTTAATGTGTCTGTTTCGCCATATAGTGTTATTAAGGCATCCTGATAGTTTATTTGCTTTTTGTACTTGATCTCTCACTTCTTTATCCAGGTCTCCATAGCTAGACAGTTTAATTTTCAGGTATTTTATTACAATTCTGATTCAAGTTCAATACTGATGCCATCAATTTCTATTTTACATCTGGTTGGTTGTTTGCTGACTACTAATGGTTTAATTTTCTGAGATGAGATTGTCATATTAAATTCTTTTGCTCTTATGTTAAATCTGTGGATCTCTAAATCTTATTCTACCAGTATTGCGTCATCTACGTAACAGAGTATTTTTATTTCTTTGTTTCCCATTGTGTATCCTCTTGCTTTGTTAACGCTTTTCATGATTTGATCCATGATTAAATTAAAGAGCATGGGACTCAATGAATCCCTTTGTCTTATTACGCTGCTTATTTCTATAGGTTCTGTAAATTGTCCATCTATTCTGACTTTTATTTTGTTGTTCTGGTAGATGTTTTCGATAGTTTTTATAATATTTTGGGGATTTTCTCTATTATACAGAAGATGGATTACATCTTTGAGCCTTACTCTGTCAAAACTTTCGTTAGGTCAATCAGACACAGAACTGCTGGTCTATTATACTCTAGTGATTTCTCAGTGATGTACTTTATAACGAATATTGCAGCTGTACACGATCTTCCACTACGAAAACACTGTTGTTCATCTGCTAACCTTATCCTCTGATTTAATAGCACTTGTAGATTAGTAGAATTTTCGTCCATAAAACGATTTTATTTGTTCATCTTCTTCTTGGAGCAAGTTTTAATATTTTACAAATATTCATTGTTCTATATTCTCAGTTGTCGATTTTATTTTAATAGTTTTTTATCATAATAATAACATAATCTATCTATAAATACCTTCTTCTACTAGTGCCGACTCAATTAATGAAGTTTGGCTGTAACCACTGCAAATTCTTTATCTTCTGCTTTTCTTAAAAGCATCTGTACGTTTAAGCCGGTCCAGTCGCGAATGTTTTTCAGCCAAGATATTTTTCATCTACCAGGACCTCTTTCGACTCATAATAGGCTGTAACAACTCATACTTCTCATTTCTAAGTATGTTGCCCAAATATGCTGTCTTTATTCTTTTAATGGTGGTCAAAAGTTGTCAGTCTCTTTTCATTCTGTGTAATAACATTTCGTTCGTAATATGATCGGTCCATGGTATTTTCAAAATTCTTCTACAAAGCCACATCTCAAACGTTTCCAACTTTCTCATAAAGTCAACATTAACAGTTCAAGCTTAAGCACTATAAAGAAGAATATAGTGCATATAACATTTTAATACCATACAATATCGGATTTGCAGATTGAGACTTTGGTTACTTAGAAATTTCCTCATCTTCAAAAAGGCTGCTCTTGATTACTCTATTCTTGATAGAATTTCTGATTTAGGATTTAGTTCCTCAGTAATTCAGACTACTAAGTACTTAATTTTGTGCACTTGGCCAATATCTTCATTTTTTATCTGGATCCTTGTCATGACTTTACCCCTCTTACTCATAACCATGGTTTTTGTTTTCTTTATATTTATTGTTAAACCAAACTGTTCCCCAGTACCACAAACTGTAGCGTCGGCATAATGAATGTTGTTTATATTTTCACCATTTATCTTGATCCTTTCTGGACAGTTTTCAAGTGGTTCTGTAAATATCTTTTGTTGGTCTGTTGGTTCCAATAGAGATTTCTCACTATGTTAATATAATTTTTGTCGGGTCTTTTCTTATAGTCTATAAATGCGACAAAAAATCTTTTTGTTGGTCTCTATGGACAGTTTTTAGTTGTTTCGTAGTGTATACTCGTTGATTTATAAGCCACTTCTAGTCGGTAAGTTGATGCAATTATAAATAAAAAGTGTAAAAATCATCAGCCATTTTAACTTCTATAATATCGTCATTTTTCCTTCGATAGTGTAATATCTATCTGTCATTTCTCACATTATTTCATTAAGAAACATTCTGGATTTAGATACAGTAATGTTATAAAATTATATCAATTTTCTATTTTATTTCCCAGCCTTAAAAACATATAATTATCCATCTTTAAAACTATCTATTATCTATTAAGACTATCTGTAAAAATATTCTGCCTCATGCCGTTCTTTTATATTCAAAAATATATCCGTAGCAAGCTGTTCGTTAAAATTATCTATTTGATCAATCAATATGATTTATATATTTTACATCAAATATATTAAATCCATGCGAAGGTCACATTATCTACAAAATCATTACAGCGTTTTCTTTGATACAAGCTTCCCAGCAACTTTTTTGTAATATTTTTCCAGTTATTTCATTTATTAATAAACCTTGTATTTTTCCCGTCTTTTTATTAAGCGTAAGGAGGAACTGTAACACAATTGTTTTTTTAGCCTACCCCAAGAAGTTAAATCCAGGGTCAAGGATTTTTTTTCATTTATTTTTGGGGATTTATTACAAGACTGAAAAGAATTTACCTTTTTGAATTTGCCCATTTGCCCGTCTGTTAATCAGAGGTCCAGAGCTCTCTCAGACTACTCTCGGACCACTTCAGGATACTAGCCCGAAAGATCTCTCTTATTTAGAGTGTGGAACATTGTTCATTTTTAATTACTATTAAACTGGGAATAAGCCACAATTAAAAATAAAAATACGTTTATTGACGTTTCAATTTCCACTTCGGAAATCGTTCTCAAAATACAAACAGTAAATTAAACAAATTTTGTTTTTTGTTACATAGTGAAAAATTCTTCTAATAATTTAATTTTATCTGACTCATTTATATTGACAATTCAGACTGTTCGATCCTAATTTTATGTTTAACCTTGAGTGGACCGTTTTTAGTTTAAAAACTCGTTTTTTATTTCACGCGGTAAAAAAGAGTAGGTTTGCACTGAAAACAGGTGAGTTACCATAGCGACATAAAACTAGCAACATCAGTCAAAAAAAAATATATTATACATTGTCACATTTTTACGAAGTTTTACGTTTCGCTTGGCGTTGTTGGGTGCTGATACAAGTTTCGCAAATAAATAAACTTCAAATAGTCATTTTAATGTGAATTTCCTACAGCCGATCCAATCGACAACAAAGATAGGACATCACAAAAAGTGCTCAAACGCCCGTTGGCTTTTTACAGTCCTCCAACAAAAAGGGCGAGAGCAAACATTGGTCCTTCGAGCCGGATTGGTCTACTTCGTCTGGATTTTAGCACCCAAAGAAAACATCGCTTCGTCTGAATTTGGTACCTACAGCTTGCAGCATCG